CAACAATGTCGAGTTGGTACTTCGTGGCCTCATCAACTAATTCATGTTCTCTTCCTCTGAATGAGGATATTTTCCAATTTCCGACTTTAAGCTCCCTCTGGTGGTGTCGTTTTCGTGGAGCCTTTTCTGGCGTGCTGTAATGGCATCGTGCTGTCTGCCTCCTCCGTTCAGAACGGGTAGCGACTCCGTTGCTGACTCGTATCTTCGTCGTCGTTGCGTCGGTCTTCGTGAGCCGTAGTTGTGTTGCCACGCGGCCGGCTGGCAGAGGACAATGAGCAGATTCTGATCGCCGACTTTCCGCAGTCTGTCTGTCTCCCAACAGCCTGCGCGGCCCTTGGTAACCGGGGCGACGACCGAGCCTGTATAATTTTCAATGGCGTCAATACCATGAGTTACAGGTAGCTGAATTTTACGGAGACTTGCCATGGTCTCCAACCCTTCTCCTTTCTCATCCGGGCTTGGGACCGGCAATGGCGGAGTTCCATTGCTGACGTTTCATACTGAATCCAGGTGAATCACCATTTCACCGTGCGGCCTAAACCTCTTACTCGTTGCTGTCATCTAATATTGTTAATGTACAGCTATTCGACTGTAACTCGATTTTACCTCAGCTCTTCCTCTCCCACAGTTAGGAATCCAAGGTTACACTCGGACACGACAATCATGGAATGTTTGACCTCGTTGTGTGTGAGAATTGGCTAAATTATTAACTTACCAGAAGAAAGACTGTATGATAGCCTACGTCGTGCTACTTGCCTCTCCCTGTGGAACGTTCATAACGTGCTACTTCGCGCTCTACCCGCATTTGACGGATCTTGACCCTGGTTTCTTTTGGAAGAGTACAGTTTTTGAAATAGTAAAGTAAGTAAGAATTAACAGGAAGTACGAAAATAGATGTACTTAAGAAGCTATATAATTGGGCCCATATTAAGTAGCAGTAAAGTAAAAGAGGTAAAACTCCCACATACAGGGAATTTCATTATCTCGAAACTTTCGAAATCTTAGCATGGTGATTCGTTATCAGTGTGAATGTCGTAATAAGCAATTTTTATTTTCTACTATTTTTGTATTACTGTTTAAGTAAATAAATAAGCGAATTATTCTTCACGTATCTCAAAAAATCACAAATAGGTTGTAAGTAAGTATGCTTGCTTGTTTGCTTAGTTTTACATATGTATATAAACAACTAAAGTATGTAACAAAGTAGAGAAGTTTGCAAAGAATTTGGTAATCACTCTAAGTGAGTGACTGAGTATTAAGTAATTAGATGACTAAGTAAAGAGTAAAAAAAGGAGTAGGTAGTAAATTATGAAGTAAGCAAGCAACCAGGTAACAAGGTACTTGGTAAATGTGCTTCACAACTAACAGCACCTTTTGCTTCCATCTCAAATTAAGCCACGTGCTACCAATGAAGACTCATTATCCAAAGGGAAGGTCTGAGGCCAGCTGCGCCGTGTGCCCTATCCTATAGTTGGTTTTTCACCATGCAGTCGTCGCGACATGTATAGTGGTCGCGCACTGGCTAATGCATTTTAAACGTTTTAACTATTAAAGTAAAGTCATGCATGGATTTCCGTAAATTAGTTAAGAAATTGCACTTAGAGTTATCACACTCGTTCTCTTTGAAACTTTCTCTAAAAAATGTGCTAGTTACTATGCATAGCTTCCCGGGTAGTAATAAACAAGAAGCAATCAATCATTTATAACAGTAAATTTGCTATCAACCGTCGTTCTTTTTCATAACTGCATTCAAGTTATTGTAAGATCTATAAATCGATTTGCTAGTTATCAAGGCAGTAGGTTGATAAATGCTTTGACAGAACCCATTCAATAAATGTCCTTCCGACCCGATGTTGCTGCTCCACCGTCATTTCCATTTTTCATTCGCTTTTGTAGGAATAGACAATCTAACGATGCTATTTTCCTTAGACAATTTTTTGCTTGGAATATTGCTATTTTCTTTTGGCTACTGCACTGATACTTTGACTACTTGTAACTTAGTGTTTTGGCTACTGCAATTTCTAAAGAAGAGTCCTTAATTACTAGATCGGTTCTTTAATGGTCATGATTCTGCAGGAGATTCTGCGAATGTTTTGACGTATGACAGTTTGAATTGCAGCGAACAGCTTTGGCTGTTCAACCTTCGCCTTCATGACCGCGATAGACTGCATCAGGAATGTTAGGTCCAAGGTAGGTTTTCTTTCTTGCGTCAGTGTCAACAGTTCTTTGTTTCAAGGCTCAAAGATGAAAATAATAAATAGCTATTGCATGAATAATGAATGAAATGATGGTAAATCAGATTTTGTGGGTCACCACATTATAAGGTAACCGAAAATGTTTATTCTTGGTCATTCCTTGCTCGTTGTTAATAGGGATTACCTATGCCGATTAACAGCAAGTTCTGAATGTCTGACAATTGTCAACTCTTGCTAGACATCTTGCACAGAGCTTCCGCTTGCCTCTCGTCCGGGCCCAATGGTGCTCTAGACGAGGAGTATGTAACGGTTGGCTCGCTCGGAGTTTTCTTCGGAGCAGAGCAGTCTGTCATCTATCTCGTGCTAAGCTTGACCCCAGAATTGAAAAATGAGTGTTAAAATTTAGCGTAATGATACAAGTCAGTCTTTCAAGCTCTTTCAACTTTCCGAGACAGTTTGCTACTAGCTGTTTTTGGACGGTAGAACCGACGATCGACCACCCACCAGCCTGCGACACTGCAGGTTAAGGACAGATGTTGTTGCCGAGAGATGGACGACCCGTCAGCCTCGGCAGACACGAGGTCGGCTCGGTGGCGGTGTCGACCGCACGAAGCCACCGTGAGGCGCGAACATGGTCGGCGATAAGGTCGTTTCGAAGTTTAAAGTCGCCTTCGAAGTGTATAATGTCGGTCATTTTACGGTCTCGGTGGCAGGTGCCAACGCGAGGCCAATCGACAACCATTCGATACCCCAATTTTATGGCGCCTTCGCCAGACAAATCGTCGAAAACTTTAAGACAGATTCGAAGCCAACTGTCGCTTCAATTTTCGTCTCTCTCCTTGTCGAAATCGTTTGCGCCAAATGGTTCTAACCGATCTGTCCAGCCATCCTATTGAATCCACCTACGCCATAGTTTGTCCGAGAAGCTGACGTCGTGACAACTCATCATGCATTCTCAAAACGCGCATTAATCAAAGTTAGGGTTATACTTTGTGTTGATTATTACACTGGAGTTAGCTATCTGGTGAGTGACGGCGAAGTGCAACCACAAGAGTCTCGGATCGAACAGAATGGTCATACGTTTCGTCCATATTGGTTGACCACACCAGTATTAGCATGTCAATGACTTGCTACCCTTTTCTCGACTGGATAGCCGAAGCCACATGGGGCAACATTAATCAGCTCCTTCAGTATGAGCATTATGATGTGTGACACCTTTTCTTTACTCATAAAGTACATTGGACCATTAGAGTAGGGTACGGCTTCATGATATTTGAGCCCCGACCGCTTATTTATCTGTTTATCGAATGCAAAACTAGTCAAGCCCGTGTTTGGAGGGCATCCACACTAAGCGAGTTCATTTCTGCCAAGCCTATTTTCAATCCTGTCGCAGGGCAGTCGTTAACGATATGAAACATAGTCTGTCGATGACCACAGCGGTGTCAACTACATCAAGCTTCACCTATCCTACAGATAGTTTTACCACCGTGAGGTTCACGTTCTTTGATAATTTTGTTCAGGATTGAACAACAGTGGTCATGCATTTCTACTAGTTCAAAACTTTTTAGGCAATAAGTACAAAAAATGTACTTCAATAAATTATTTGTGAAATTCGAATTCTGATCAATGCCTTGTTTTCTTTCTGTTTTCCCTCGTTGCCGAAACTTTCGCTGCAAGACACCAGGCATTTTATGCTTTCGCTCTTCAGCTAAGCGAATAAAAACATGAGGGCACCTGCTGCAGGCTTCAACCTACCCACAGATGCTCGTTACCTTGAGATTG